CCCCAAAACCCCAAAACCCCAAAACCCCAAAACCCCAAAACCCCATGCTGATATTAGAATTGAAAATAGTACAAGAATAAAATGAATGCCCCAAACTGTGGCTATGAAGGGTGAAATGCCCAATCTGTGTACTACATTAAAGCCAAAAAACTCTATGCTTGCACTATTCATCGAAACGAGACTTTTTCATGATATGAAGGCATAGTTCTGGTTAACCCTGACCAGGTCATGATGACACTCAATATTCTTGATACTTCAAGAAAGCGGTTTCATCTTGCAGCTAAGCAAGAGGCTTATCATCTTCCTGAGGATGATTGAGTGGCTCTCAGTGAACATCTCTGGGAGAAAATAGAAGCTTTGGTAGCTGCTCATGACCAGTACTGAAGAAAGAGAGAATATTATAAGTTTGTTGAACTTTTAAGCAAGGCAAAGAAATTAGCCAAGAGATTTAGAGAAAACCCATTGTTCATCAAAACTTTACTTGCAAAGGATAGAGCAGAGAGCAGAGCTATCCTAGAAGGCGATAAAGACCCTGAATTGGTATACCACGAGAGAAAACTTAAGGACAATGCTCGATTCTTTCAGGTTGTCCAGAAATTGAAAGAACAAAGAAGAAACCTTACTCAGAAGTATCAGAATGATATCGTACATCTTCAGAAAACTCTTGCTGTAAGGGACGCTGAAATTGCTGACCTTAGAGATTTCATTAGTAGGCAGGAGCATCAGCTCACTAAGAAGCATGAGCAAGATCAGTCTCAACTCCTGCTAAAACAAGAAGAACAGAAATTTAGAATAAGGGAATGTATTGAAGGGGATTCGACCAACAATCAGAATTCTGGTATTTTGCAGGGAGTTGTCAAGATTCATCAACATTTCTATGATCATAAAGTAGAGGATATTTCTGACAATCCTCCAAGGTTTGGACATGGAGAGAAGAAGGCCTTCAGAGGAGTTGTAGGCCCCTTTCCAGTTATCCACTCAGCGTATGAGGAGAGTAAGGATGATATAGAGGAAAATCCTATTTCAAATGTGAACAACAATTATTTTGAGCATTTGAATAAGAAATATTACTCATATGAGGACCTGGAAGCCCTTCAATTACCTCTTTTTCATGCTGAAGAGGCTTATGGAGAGTTTATGAGTATCGAGTTCGACTTCAGCACTCCAGAAAGTAATAAATTGCTGGAAAATATTGAGAAAACTCTCCCTGACCTTTTCAGTGTGAAGTTCAAGTCAATATCTCTTGTGACTAATCCTGAAGCATTTAAGACCTTCTGAACTTATTTTTTCCCAGACCAAGTTGAACACCTCACTTTCCGCCTTGATTACCGCAGTATCAGTCAGCTTGATAAGTACTTCAACATCTTTATTGAGCTTTGCCAGAAGGTAAAGGTCCAAGTAGAGATTTCAGAGTGTTGTATAAGCCAGAAACAACTAGAGCGAATAATCTGTGCCAACAAGTCAAAGATGTGCTTGAAGATTACAGACTGCTATATCTCAGTGGAGAATGTTCACTATTTCTTAGATGCACTTGAAGGAGCAACCTTGGGTCATCTAGATCTCACCAATAGTGGCAAAAACACTATATTTGGATCATTAACATCTTTGGAGGATTACTTCTTAAATTTAGTGATTAGTCTCTCCAAGTCAGATGATTTTAGGAATAATTTAAGTAAAGTTACTGTTACTGGTACAGGAATGACAGACATCATTGCCCAACACATTTTGGACATGCATGGATTTAAGAATGCCAAAGTTGGCTAATAAGATACTTCTGGAATCTTCTTGTTTCAATCTTGGGCTAAATCTCGGGGTTTTGGGGTTTTGGGGTTTTGGGGTTTTGGGG